GCGGTCGACTACGTGGGAGTCCAGCGACATAGCCATTACGCTAACTGCTGGTTCCCAAGAACATTTGTTTTCTTGAATTTTGCTGCCCATAATTTTTATAGGTTAATACTGTTCAGGACAAAAATATTAGTTTTATGTGTTGCTTTTTAATGTTGATCATATAGAATGTAGAATTACCTGTAAATTTTTTTGTTATAAAAGTAAGAACTAGTCATCTATTTGTTTTTTATAAATGAATAAAGGAAATCTAAATGAGTAACCCTGAGGATGCCAGCAGGTGGCATGGTGGTTAAGGCGCTGGACACTCCCACATGGCCGACCACAGTTCAAGACCTGGCCCTGGTGCTTGCTTTCTCACTTTCTCTCTCTCTATCTCTCTCTGTCTGTGTCTCTCTGGTCAAATTGAAATAAATGAATGAATAAATAAATAAACATTAAAAAAAATGAGTAACCCTGAAAATATTAGAACTAGAATTTGCAGAGTTCTTTGGGCTTTTTATTTTGAATTAAGGTATTATTTATATGTACTCTTCATCTTTCTCCCTTGAAATGGGCCCTCTGGTCTTAAGTTTTGCATCTTTATCAATAAAATTAAACTGGACATGAAGGGCAGAAAGTGTAAGTTCCATGTGATGGAGAAAATAAACAAGTTGCCACTAATTTCTGAGAATGCCTTGTTGGACAGGTCTTCATGAGACTCGAGAACACACGTACTTCCATAGGTGTGAGGGTGAGTGCTGGGGTTGGTCGCACCTTTAGGCCCTGTGTTGATGCAGTGCTGGGAGAGGGCAAAGGCAGCCAGGGATCTTTACAAAGATGGATGCCCTCACTGCCCACACATTTATTTTTTATTTATTTATTTTTAAACAAATAATTTTATTTAACTTTATTTATTTGTTTAATTTGACCAGAGAGGGAGGGGGGGAGGGAAGGAGACAGAGAGAGAAAGTGAGAAAGCAAGCCGCTAGGTCCAGGACTCGAACCACAGTCGGTCATGTGGAAGTCCAGTGCCTCAGCCACCACGCCACCTGCCAGCCCCCTGCTCCACTCATTTATTTATTAAAGTACTCTTCACCCTTTGTAGTATAAATTCTGTGAATTTCGACAGATGCATTCACTCATGTAACAGTGCAGTCCAAGTAGTAGAACAGTTCCATCACCCCCAAAATCCCTTATGTCATTTAGTAGTTAACTTTCCCTGCATCCTGCAACCTTTGATCTGTCTCCTGTTTCTGGTTTTTGTTCTTTTCTCATATATGGACGCTAAGTTTTTTTAATTATTCTTTTTGCCAGAGGACACATGACCTCACCAGAGAGCATTGCAGTCCCTTCTCTTTTGGTTCATCCTGTCAGGATTTGGGGCATGTAATACACACCCTCCCAGCATCTTTCTCAAGTTGCCAGGGCTAGGATTCAAACTGCGCATTTGGCCATGTGGGATCCAGCTCTCTTCACCACTAGGCCACAGGGCTGGTTTTTTGCTTTTTCTTTGTACCACGTATAGTCAAAGACTGTTAGTTGGTATAACTGACTTGACTTTAGAAAACCTGACATTCTGTTTTCTAAGGAAGCAAAAGGGTATAGTAAATCAAATCTTCTTTCATATATATAAGGTATTATGAACCTAACTAAACATTTTATAGCAAGATAAATGTTAACTGTAATATATATGCAAGTATAAATATTAATTTCTAATAGTGTTTTGTTTTGTTTTCATTTCAGATTTCTTTTGATGGAATCTATGCAAATATGAGGATGGTTCATATACTTACATCAGTTGTTGTAAGTCACCAGAATGTGGGGGATAAAGTGCCTGGGGAGTGAAATAAAGTCATTCCATGAAGTTAAAACGTGGAGGAATGATTCTCTTACATTTCCTAGGTCATATTGAATCAGAATTTTAAGGAAAAAGAGAACTCTCTCTGTCCATTCTGTTGATTGTAAAAGTATTCTTGTTAACCCTTTTGGGTACAAAATAATGTTGGTAGTTTCATAGCTTTTGTACATTATTTTGTCACCTAATATAGCTGGAGTATGAAATGCTTAACTGTAGTATTTAAAGTTATACTATAAAATCTGAGTAGAGGGACCAACCCATGGTATAATGGTTTCATCACTGGACTCCCACTTCCTTGACTGTGGTTCGAGTTCCTGACCCAGTGGCTTGAAACTCAAGCTGGGCACGTATGTGTGTGTGCCCAATATCCCAGGAGAAGAACGGAGAAGGGATTGTGGTGTGGTCATTCCCCCTGGGGGTGATTTCTCCCTTTCTGTCTCTCCAGTGAGTGCGCCCTATAGCAAAAATCTCCCTCTCAAAAAATATAAAATATTTGGGACCAGCAGATGATGTAATGGTTGCGTTGCTGAACTTCCATGTAGATGACCACAGTTTGAGTCTCAGACTTGGGGCACCAGCAGTTAGTGTAATGGCTATATCACTGGACTCCCATGTAGTCGACCGCGGTTCAAATCCCGGACCCGGTGGCTTAAATTCATGCCGAGTGTGTGTGCATAAGTGCCCAAGATCCTGAGAGGAGAATGGAGAAGGGATTGCAGTGTGGCCATCATCCCTGAGGGGTGATTTCTCTCTTTCTATCTCTCTGTCTGCGAGGCCCCCCCCCTCCCAAAAAAAAAAAAAAAAAAAAAAAATTTACACTGAGGGCATGTATTTGTATGCCCAAGACCCTGAGAGGAGAATGGAGGAGAAGGGATTGTGACATGGCCATCCCCCGCCCCGGGATGATTTCTTGCTTTCTGTCTCTCCGTCAAGTAGAGAAAGCAAGAAATCACCCCCCACAGGGGATGGTCATGCCATAATCCCTTCTCCTCCATTCTCCTCTCAGGATCTTGGAGACCAAGATCCGCACGCACACGCGCCCTGCGTGAGTTTAAGCCACCAGGTCCGGGACTTGAACCGCGGTCGACTGTGTGTGAGTCCAGCGACATAGCCATTACGCTAACTGCTGGTCCCTATATATAGTTTTTTGAGAGGTTTTCGCTATAGGGCGCATGTGCTCGCCAGACAGACAGAGAGAGAGACATAGAGACAGAAAGCGAGAAATCACCCCCCCGGGGGGATGGTCACGCCGCATTCCCTTCTCCTCTCAGGATCTTGGGCACGCACGCACACACGCCTGGCGTGAGTTTTAAGCCACTAGGTCTGGGATGTGAACCGTGGTCGACTACGTGGGAGTCCAGCGACATAGCCATTACACTAACTGCTGGTTCTCCCCCAATTTATTATTTTTTTTGAGAGGTTTTCGCTATAGGGCGTGTGCGCTCGCCAGACAGACAAGAGACATAGAGACAGAAAGTGAGAAATCACTCCCCCCGGGGGATGGTCACGCCGCAATCCCTTCTCCTCCATTCTCTCAGGATCTTGGGCACACACGCACACGCGTGAGTTTTAAGCCACCAGGTCCGGGATGCCAACCGCGGTCGACTACATGGGAGTCCAGCGACATAGCCATTACGCTAACTGCTGGTTTCCCCAAAAAATATTTTTCTAGAATTATTTATTTAGTTTTATTTGTCATTATTATTTTTTAATTTGCTGCAGAGCACATGTGTTCATGAGAGAGAGAGAAAGCCACTGGTTTCAGGACTCAGACCATGGTCAACCATGTGGAAGTCCAGCACCTTTAACCACCATGCCACCTGCTGTCCCACAAAAATCTCTTTTAAAAAAAAAAGTCTGAGTAGAGCCTCATGAATAATATTGAGAGTTCAATATATTGTTAATGTTTTGCAGTTTTTCATTGTGTTAGCAAATACCTAATAGTGAATGAAGCCTGGTGAACTATAAAAGTAAATGAAAACAGTTATTTCCAGTTACTGGGTAGCAGACTGTTTCTTTCATAAATTAATTTTATGTTTTTAGGGATCCAAATGTGAAGTACAAGTGAAAAATGGAGGTATATATGAAGGAGTTTTTAAGACATACAGCCCTAAGGTAATTTTTACTTTTTTCTATTTTGTTAATATTAGTGATTAATTACTGTTAGTTTTTATTACTTTCTGAACAGTGTCTACTTGTTCTGATTTAGCAGTTTATAATTATCAGCTATATATTTTTGCCATAATCAAATTTACATGTTAGTTTTCCATATAAAGTAAGAGCATTTTCATGTGCAGTAGTTTATACTTATTTTTTAAAACCACTTTGGAGACCAGCAGGTGGTGTAGCAGTTATGTTGCTGGACTCCCACACGGGCAACTGCAGTTCAAGTACCAGACCCCCTGGCTTGAAATTCAACACTGGGTACGTGTATGCGTGCTCAAGATCCTGAGAGGAGAATGTAGGAGAAGGGATTGTGGCATGGCCATCCCCACCCCCAAGAGGGTGATTTCTCATTTTCCCTCTCACTGTCTCTGTCTCTCTCCACACACACACACACACACACACATACATACATACATACACACACACGTATATACATATATATATGTATATAAAATAAAACTACTTTGAATGACTTTGCTCTTCAGTTTCAAATTTTGATTATTTTATAGGCTGACTTAATATAATTAAAAATATGTTTTGGTGGGCTTAGCAGGAGGCATGGTGACTGAGGTTCTGGATTCCCACATTGCCTGTACCTGGTATCTTGATTTCTCTCTATTTTTCTTAGTGAGCACACTTGGCCTATAGCAATTTAAAAATAATAATAATAAATAAAGTTAAAATATTTTGATTTATGTGCTTATTAAACTATTTAGCTTTTTTTTTCTTTTAGGTTGGCTATAGGACTCTATAGCTCAGTGAGGAGAGAGAGAAAGAGAGAGAGAGAGGGAGATCACCACCCAAGGAAGATGACCTTGCAGCAATCCCATCTCCTCCATCTCCTCTCAGAACTTTGGACACGCACACATGTGTGACCTACACGATCGTCGGGCCGTCAGGTCCAGAACTTGAATCGTGTACTTGGCCATGTAGAATCCAGCTGCCTTAACCTCCACACCATCTGCTGGCCCTATTCTAGCCACTAAAAAAAAATTATTGATTTATTCCATTTTATTTAGTATTATTTTAAAATTTTTCTTTAGAGCATGCATGCTCACCAGAGAGAGAGAAAGTGAGATAGCAAGCCACTAGGTCCAGGACTCAAACTACAGTTGGACATGTGGGAGTCCAGTGCCCCAACCACTGTGCCACCTGCTGGTCCCTATCCTAGCCATTTCTAAGTGTTATGAACTAAAAGGGATAAGAGGTGGATTAGTTCCCCTCTTTTGTCATTATTAATGAACTTAAGACAGACCAGACATAGACCAGCTTTTAGATGTAAAGATTTTTGAATTATGGAATGGATAACAATCCTGTTTCTGGGGGAAAAAGGTGTGGTTATCAGGATCTCTTGAGATAGATTATGTTCGCCAAAGGGCTTTAAGTAGTAGCACTTTAAAGAGCTAAAGAATTTCTGTCAGGTTTTATTTTATAATTATTTTCAGTACTTAATCTTGTTTCTCACTTTAGTGCGATTTGGTACTTGATGCTGCACATGAGAAAAGTACAGAATCCAACTCGGGGCCAAAACGTGAAGAAATAATGGAGAGTATTTTGTTCAAGTGTTCAGACTTTGTTGTGGTGCAGTTTAAGGATATGGACTCCAGTTATGCAAGAAGAGGTAGGTTTTGGTTTCCCCCATATGCTTCATGGTTTATTGGACATATTCAGGGACTACTTCCCTCACAGTGATCATACCACCTTTTTTTTTTTTTTTTCAGAAAAATAGACATCTTAATGCCTTTTTGTTATATTTAAAACTTAAGAGAATGATTACTTGGTACTATTTTTTAGTAGCGTAGTGAGAATTTGTGTTCCATTAAAGAATAATTTATTGGGCCAGCAGGTGGCGACATAGTAGTTAAGGTACTGGACTCCCACATGGCTGACTACTGTTCAAGTTCCGGACCTGGAGGCTTAAAATTCATGCTGGGCATGTGTGCATGTATGCCCGAAATCCAGAGAGGAGAATGGAAGAGAGGGGTTATGGTGTGGCCATTCCCTGTGGGGGGTGATTTCTTGCTTTCTGTATCTTTGTCTCTCTGGCAAACACACATGCCCTATAGTAAAAGTCTCTCAAAGAAAACCAGAAAAGTTTGTTAAAGGATTTTCTACAGTTTCATGAACAATAATATTACTAATGATACTCAACTTCAAATTTTTTGTCTTATTTGGCCTACGTTGGTTTAGTTTATTAGCATAAACAGCTGTAAAGAAATGAAAGCACAGGACTAAGGCAGAAAAGCAGAGAACTATGAATAGAAATTAGTTTCCAATGAAGATGAAAAAAAGTAATGGAGTCAAACATGTATATTTATAAAAGCATTCAGAATGTGAGAGTATCTTTAGAGTTTTTTTTAAAGAATTATTTATTTATTTTGATTTGTCGTTATTATTATTATTTTTAATTTGAGCAGAGAGAGACAGAGAAAGGGAACTCAAACCGTAGTCGGCCATGTGAGAACCTAGTGCCTTTAATCACCACGCCACCTGTTGGGCCCTGTTTAGAGAATTTGAAAGCATGTTACTTCATTAGAATTTAGCTGGTTCAAGTGTCCATTACGGAGGAACATACAAGAACTACTCTTACTCCAAAAATTTGGAGAGCACAGCCTACAGTGCTGCTGAGGGTTCAGTGACATGTTGAGAACGGGATTCTAATCTGTTTATTTGCCAGGTTTTGTAGTCATATATAATTCTGTTGCAAAGTGTAAGTCATTACCATCTGATTTTCATGATTCAGTTAATACCAAAAGCTGTTTTTATTTTAAGCCTGATTGATCTACACTGTTATTTCAGAAACTAAGCCATCAAGAAATTAAAACATTTCTCTCTTTTTAAAACTTATTTATTTTATTTATTATTTGTTATTATTTTAATTTGACCAGAGAGAGAAAGAGACAGGGCAGGGAGAATGAGAAAGCAAGCCTCCAGGTTCAGGACTTGAACTGTGGTTGGCCATGTGGGAGTCTAGCCTTAACTACCACACCACCTTTTGGCCTCAAAACATTTCTCTTAGCAAGGATCTCACTTATTAGCTTGGTTTGTTTGTTTGTTTGTTTTCAGGAACTAATAGTAGTAGATACTCTGTTTTGAGATGCTTCTGGAAAGCATAGTGTTCAGTTTTTATTTTCTCAGATGTTCAGTATATTTACAAGTTTTTGTTCAAAGAGTCTACAGTGGCCCATACACGGAAACAAGTCTTTTTTAAGTTGCTACCTTTAGAGTTGACCTTATTTATGCCTAGGAATACCCAATTATTTATACTTAACACTATTGAAATATTCCACTGTTTTAAATTTAAAATTGGCTTCGATCATAAGCCAGAACGAAAATAAAATTTTAGTTAAATTTACGTAGTACTCTGGAAGGAGTATTGACCACCACCACAACAAAAATGTTCCCTGCTCTGTTGGGAACCAGGCCATTTAGCTCACAGTCATGTATAGTATACTTTGTGTTTTTAATCATGAATTGGCATTTCCTAGATTTGGAAAAGTCAATATTAGGTATTTATGGTAGCTCATTTTTTGCTGCTTTTCACAATTTATGTCTTTATGTATTTTATTATTTTAATATATTGTTTTTATTATGACTTCACTTCTCAGACCACTTAGGTTCATTGCAGAAAACCAAGAAAATACAGATCAGAGTGATAGCTTTGAAAATGTTCAGTACATGGGACCAGCAGATGGCGTAGTGTTTAGGGTGCTGGACTCTCATATGACCGCAGCTTGAGTCCCAGACCTGGTGGCTTGCTTTCTCTCTCTGGTGAGTTGCTACCTTTAGAGTTGACCTTATTTATGCCTAGGAATACCCAATTATTTATACTTAACACTATTGAAATATTCCACTGTTTTAAATTTAAAATTGGCTTCGATCATAAGCCAGAACGAAAATAAAATTTTAGTTAAATTTACGTAGTACTCTGGAAGGAGTATTGACCACCACCACAACAAAAATGTTCCCTGCTCTGTTGGGAACCAGGCCATTTAGCTCACAGTCATGTATAGTATACTTTGTGTTTTTAATCATGAATTGGCATTTCCTAGATTTGGAAAAGTCAATATTAGGTATTTATGGTAGCTCATTTTTTGCTGCTTTTCACAATTTATGTCTTTATGTATTTTATTATTTTAATATATTGTTTTTATTATGACTTCACTTCTCAGACCACTTAGGTTCATTGCAGAAAACCAAGAAAATACAGATCAGAGTGATAGCTTTGAAAATGTTCAGTACATGGGACCAGCAGATGGCGTAGTGTTTAGGGTGCTGGACTCTCATATGACCGCAGCTTGAGTCCCAGACCTGGTGGCTTGCTTTCTCTCTCTGGTGAGCACACATGCCCTGTAGCAAATTAAAATAATGGAATAATTAATAAATACAGTTAAATAAATAGTTTTGGGAAAAGAAAAAGAAAGAAAATGTTCAGTACAGCCCAGCCTCTGTGGCATAGTTAATAGCAGACTGGGCCAAGGAACTGGAAGCCACATACTAACTGAGGTTCAAGCCCTCTGACCCTGATACAAGTGTGCATGCTTGCCCAGGATCCTCGAGGGCTAGGGGACTGGAGAAGAGCGGATTGTGGCAAGACTGAGCCCTATGTAGGGTACTCCCCCTTCTCACATGCATATACATGTAGACTGTTAGGAATTAAGCAGGTAAACTCTTCTATAAAAACCCAAAATGTTCGGGGTTGGATATATTTTCCTATATATCAACATTCTTTTTTTTTTTAATGACATTTAATATTGGAGTTATTTCAGGTATTTTATTTGAAAACTGTACTGATGCAGTGAATCACAAAATCGCATTTAGTTGGGACCAGCAGTTGGAGTAATGGCTATGTCACTGGACTCCCATTAGTCGACCATGGTTCGAGTCCCAGACCCGGTGGCTTAAACTCACACCGGGCACTTGTGTGTGTGTGCCCAAGATCTCGAGAGAAGGAGAAGAATGGAAGAGAAGGGATTGAAGTGTGGCCATTCCCCCGGTGGATGATTTCTCACTTTTTGTCTCTCTATCTCTCTCTGCCTTTCTGGTGAGCGCACGTGCCCTGTAGCAAAAACCTCTCCAAAAAATAAATAAATAAAGTGTGGGGATAAATGGATAAACTATAAACTGTAAAACACTATTGAAGATCATAAAAGATTTGGCTAAATGGAGAAATATGCCATGTTTTGAGGAGAGACATTTAACATTGTCAATTCTCAAAGTAATCTCTAGAGATCTGTTTTTTTGTAGAAAATGAAAAAATGGGGACCAGCCCCTAGTGTGGTGGTTAAGGTGACGGGATCCCATGTGGCCAATGACTGTGATTGAATCCTGGACCTGGCAGCATGAAAAACATACCAGGGGTGTGTCTACTTTTCCCAGATCCCAAAAGGAGAAATAGAGGAGGGATTGTCGTGTGACTTGCCCAGGGCTTGGGAAGGTGCGCTTTCTCAGTTTATCTCTCTCCCCACCATGTGCCCTCTGGTAAAATTTATAAAACAAATGAACAAAAAGAAATTGACAAACTGATTCTAAAGTTTATAAGGTCGTTTTAACAGAAGAAGTTTGGAAGTCAAGAAGGACTTGCCTTATCAGATATTAAAAAGTATTAGAACTGGGCCAGCCGGTAGTGAAGAGGTTAATTAAGGTGCTGGATCCCACATGGCTGTCTCCATGGTATGAGTCCCAGACTTGGCCACTTGAGAATCACTCTGGGCACGAGTGCATATGTGCTCATGATCTGGAGAGGAGAATGGAGGAGACGGGATTGCAGCAGGGCCATCCCTCTAGGGGAGCCGAGCCATTTCTCACTTCTGGCTCTCTCTGGTGAGCACATGCTCACTGTAACAAAAACAAAACAAAAAGTATTAGAACTAAAAGTTGTCATGGTGGTGAAGAATAGAGAATCTGAAATGGATTAAATTTATATTATTTATTTATTTTCGTGTTTACTATAGAGTGCTTGTGCTCACCAGAGAGACAGAGGGAAGGAATGTGAGAAGCCACCCCCAGAGATTTTTGCCATAGGACATGTGTGCTGCCTGGGGAGACAGAGGGATGAAGAGAAAGAAAATAGAAAACCACCTTGCAGGAGGGATGGCCACATCACAATCCCTTCTCCCTCCATTCACCTCTCAGGATTATGGACATGCATGCACATGCACCCAGCATGAGTTTCAAGCCTCCAGTCCCAGGACTCAAACTGTGGTCAACCATGTGGGAGTCTTGCTCATTAAGCACTAGGCCACTTGCTGGCCCCAATAAGTTTTTCTTTTCTTTTTTCTTTTTAAGAGAGATTTTTTACTATAGGGCAGGTGTGCTCACTGGAAAGAGAGGCAGAAAGTGAGAAATTACCCCCCAGGGGGGATGGCCATGCTGTAGTCCCTTGTTCATTCTTTTTTTTGGGGGGGGAGAGGTTTTTGCTATAGGGCACGTGCTCTCGCCAGACAGAGAGAGACAAGAGACAGAAAGCGAGAAATCACCCCCCAGGGGGGATGGCCACGCTGCAATCCCTTCTCCTCCATTCTCTTGGAATCTTGGGCACGCACACACACGCGCCTGGTGTGAGTTTTAAGCCACCAGGTCCGGAACGCGAACTGGGGTCGACTACGTGGGAGTCTAGTG